ATATATATAAATAAAATATAAATGATAAATGAGCTATACCATAACATTATTCTAGCTCACTCATTATTCTAGCTATAAAATATTTCAAAGAAAAATATAGTAATGCAATATACAACCATTATTTTTAACAGATAACAAAATAATTCATGTCATTTAATAATTTAGTGTACGCAAACTTGTTTTGCTTAATATAGACAAGACTATGCGAGAAAAAACAAATCAAGGGTATGTATTTTGTCAAAGTGAAAGTGTGGATTGCAACTATAAAAGGTGACAATAATAGTAAGAGGAAGTTTCATAAGATTGTAGATAACATAGCGGGTCGCTTGGATAATATAGCGGGAAAATTCTAAAAAAAAAAAATTTTTAAGTCTGAAAGATAAAGATATTTTATAGATGTTTTCAGATAGTTTTTAAATTTCTTTCTCTCTTGTTTCAAATATATTTTCTATAAAATAATTAAATATTTAGCATTTTATGAATCATTTTGATATCTTTGAATATTGATCAGAAGTCCAAGTTTAAATAAATTTTTTATAATTTAATATTATTCAAAATTGATTACAAAATTGTTTTAAAAATCAAAATACTAATTGAATATAACTTGAATACAAATTTTGTTTATTTATATTTTTATCATAATATTAGGTGTAGTAAAAAGAAATCCATTATTTTTCCATTCAATTTCATGCAAAACTAATGGATTTCTTTTTACACCTAATATATGAGATCCAAATAAATAAAAAAATAATACTTTCAAAGAGAATGAATTATATATGAGAGAAGAAATTTTAACTCAGACAAAATATTAATTCTTTTACAAAATATTAATTCTTAATATGTGATATAATTCAATTACACATGATCGATGTGTCGACTGTCTGACATGTTAAATTAACATCCACGAAGACATTTTTAATGCCAATACTTAAATTAATTTTTTTTATAAACTTCAATTCTGTATATGTATTCTTGCATGATCTTGATTTAATTCATTCGAATACGATTATCGCACAGTTTTGTCATGAAATCAATTTTCGCGATGTTCGTTTAATTAAAAATAGTGATTTATCACGTTGAAAATATTTCATTCTAAATTTATATCTTATCTGAACTTAAAAGCAAGCTTGTAAATCTATTTTATTCAAAGTCAATTGCAACATAAATATACATTTGTCTTCTTTCGATAAATTATAATAAGAATTGTGATCATCGTTTTAGAAATAATGCAAAAAGAAATCTTACAATCATGTTTGTTTGTTAATACTTTTAATTACCCAAAATTAATAAATCGATTCATGATCGATAGAACTTTCAAAAAATCAAAATATATTTTTGTTTACTTCCAAGAAGCAAATTCATATTCAATTGTCAAGAATGAATTATCTTAAAATATCTTGCGTGATGCACTTATTCGAGTCTCGCATCTCTTTCTTCTAATTGCGAAATTATTTCACAATTATTATAGCAATTCATTTTGTTTTTTCGTATTCAGATATCACTTGATAAGAAACTTTTACTTCATTGAATCAATGCAGACAACCTGTCCAATCGATCTCATATCTAATCTCTCTTTCCTAAGATTAATTGCACAAAGTGCAATTTATTATTTCGACGAAGAAGACGATGCAAGTGTACGGTCGGGAAACTCGTCCGTTTTATTAAAATTCATTAAAAGTTTGTCGCATCTTCTGTACTTGACTATATTCGTGAAGTGTCTTGATAACGATATAGAATAATTGAATGCACAAATGTGTGACGCCTGATGTGTTTATTCCTGAGCGATCCGGCCCAGTTTCAGTTTGAGACCACGGTCCCCTACGATACAATCTTATCACAAAGTCATTACTACAAAATGTCTCTTATATTCGTTTCTTTGCTATCTATCGGTTTTTTGTTGTTTAATTCTTTGTATCCGTTTCGTTTTTGGTATATTTGCACGATTTAAACCTAAGAAATCGCACGCGCGTCGATCCCGCACGGTCATTGTTCGTCCTTTCGCGTTTCCCTTTCCGTCTCTCCATCTCTCGTGCTTCTTCATACATTTATCTCGTTTACACGCCCAATTTGCCGCGATACATACGCACATATGCATATGCATATTTATATATAAACAGGCGCTGCGACAGCGATCCCGATAGATAGAGCCGATAAAAATAGTTCTCAGTCGATAATTCGATTTATGAACATGTATATATAACTATGTATATGTATAGTTATGTATAAGAAAAATTTCTCACACAGCTCATTCGCCACACATTCCTCGCTTGTCCTTTTGTTCTCTTTCATCATGAAACGATAGAGCATCGCTTACCATTAATTAACTATAAGACTCCTCATTGCGCTCTCAACACACGCACATATCATACACACGTACACATATATGTGTATGTACATATATGCATGTATTTATATATCTGTATATACATAAAGGGAAGGGGAGATTGGACAGACAGTTAACATAGCGCGTTAGCTTCGTTCGAGGAACCCTGGTCGGTCGTTGATGCATCGTCCTCCTTTCTGTTCCACTTTCTCAGTCTTCTTCATCTCCTCCACATTTCATGTGCACTTTCTCGGCCACAACTTTCATTTGCCCAGCACCGTGAATTCTTCTGCATGTCCGAGGATTCGTCCAGTGTTTTACATGCGCAGCTGCAATCGGGAGGACAAGCAATCGCTCGATGCGATCGTAAAGTATGAACGATGTCGCGACTTCGTGGATAGGCGGTATGGACGCAAAAGAGGTTGAGGAGATAAGATGAAGAGATAGAGAAGAGGTCAACAAGGCGGAGAATCTCACAGCAGAAGTGAGAGCGCATGGGCGGGTGTTGTTCTTTGTACAGGCACCGACAGACACAGATAGACTGATCGAGAGACTGACCGGGGAATCGTGACTGATCGATCGACCGGTCGAGCGAACGACCGATACTGATTTGACTGACTGAGACTGACATGGCACGGCGACTCCGATCGAGAGTACACGGTCACAACGTCACAGGCCACCTGCTGGCACACAAACAAACACACGGACATGTTAGTCACCACCACACACCAGATATGAAGATTCATCCCCGGGCAAACGCGCGCGGTGGCGGTTTTTCCGAGGTCCCGCAAGGACCTACTATGCCCAATTGTCTTTGCAGACATGCATTTTAAATAACGGATAACAACAATCACATACGAATTTTTAATTAACCGACATAAAACGAACATGTAGCACGATATGATTCCTTTCTTAAAAAAGAGAACTTAATGGATTAAATATATTATCAGAAGCTAAAATTATAATTTTACTATTTTCTACGAAATGATTTTGAAGTATTGCTTTATTGCATTATAATAATGCTTCGACAAAATATTTCACAAGCATGTCTGATAAGAGAATTGCACACAGAAACAGAACGACGATTAAAAAGTATATACATTCAAACGAATTATTTGCGGGACCTCCAAACCGACGACACCGTGCATCGTATACACAGGTACTTTGCCGAATCGTCCTTTTAAAACATGAGCAACGAGCGTCCGTTTAATTCAGCTTGACAGACAGTCACAAGGAAAGAGAAACAAGTGTTCGACAGCGCATTTGTGAAAACTCGTTGCTGATGTAATTAGTGAAATTCGCCAATCGTTTCCAGATTCAGATTACAGAATGACTGTAATAGTCATACAAATTACATAGTATTTTTTATAGCAGTTTTTCGAAAGTTGTTTGTCATCAATTGTATTAAACTTAAATCATAAATAAAATAATAGAATGTTTGTATTGAACATAAATTACACTTTTTTATTTTCATGGAAACAACTGACTTGTCCACCGTCTATGACGATCGCTTGCATACATTCCTCCCCCCTCCCCCCCAAAAAAAATCACATGGCAATGTTAGTATTACTAACTAATAAAGCATCGTAGCGTGATTAACCATAGAAAAACTTAGTGATATTATTATCACGTGAGAACGTATCGAATTCTGTGCGTTTCGAACAATAAACGAAGGAAATACACGCGATATAATAGCTGCTGACATAATTACAATGAGTGAGATATACAGTTCTTTGTGTTTATCGCTCGTATTAGCTGGTTCAATTACCAGCTCAAACTGTTATTGATATAAAGAACAAGATAAAAAAATTAAAAAATGGAAAGAGACAAAAATTACAGAAAGAAAAAACAGAGAGAAAAGTCAAATCGTCAAATGGTTACGAGGTACGGACTTGAACGCTGCGTGAAAATTCAAAGCGAACTAGTCTTACCCTCCTAGGGGAAAAGCTACGTTGTTAGTGAACTTCACGTACGTAATTTCACTTTGTGCAACAGTAAGTTAGCACAGAAAGCTTTACTGGCAGCCTTTGCAACGAAATGTAGTTTGATTGCATCATCTAGGAACGTGCCGCCAGGCTCTTGCATCTTCGAAGAGAACATATTTTCGAGACCGTGCGATAAATACAGGCAAGTATTACGGATGAATATTTGAAAGACCCGTATTATATCATTGCGCATATAGCGTATAAACGTGGCTATTCGATTTCCACTGTGTGCTTATTATGTATGTTCTTCGTAATTAGATGAACCGAATTCAGAAGTGAATGAGCACGTTTAACGCTAAATGCGCGCCGCTAAGGCCATTCCTAGGACAAGATTTTAACCCGACACGAACTTTAACCCGTAAATCGAGTTAAATTTAAACTCGAAAAATCTTTATACGTCTCGGTATAAACAGAGAAATGTCTAGAGCTGTTCTTTTTAAAAGTTAAATACCGATTCTATATTTTGTGACGGCAAAAGTTGAATTAGGAAATTCAAAATGAATAGATATTTCACAATCACATTATGAAGCTTTTACATGCAAATTTCTGTCTTTTATGAAAGCGCAATAAAGTATTCGCATATGTCTTGCATGCAAAATCCCTTTTTTAACGAAAATATAAATAATACTCAACATATATATCAACATTTTTTTTATAATTCAATGCGCAAAAGCGCTTTTAACATAAAAAACAATTCATTCATAAATTAATTCATAAAAGAATTGCAAATGTTTATTATTAATCTTGATTAATTATACTCGTCAGATTCACTAAATCTGCATAAACTCTAGAAATACCGGTCATAGTCTCTGAAATCGATCATCATTGGCTACGAAATCAAATGATCCGATATAGTAATGAACTAATACTAATTCGTTAATCCTATTCCGTCTCCTGTTAAAAATTATTGAAATGAATTATCAAAAAAGCAGGATATCTATGTATATTTAACTCGGCACTGGAAGAGTTAACAGATGATATACGATTGCAACGTGGCACGGACGTGAACGGAATAAACAAATTGTTGGATTAAAAATGTACTAAGAGAAAGTATTCACACATGGGCGAACTGGCAGGTAGAAGAGAGAAGACAATTCGGCGGGACAGTTCGCATAAGCGACACGTTAAAAGAATAAATTACGTTCCTGCACCTCGGAAGAAAAGTCAGTCCGATGGAGACAAGAGAGTCTTCTGGATTATCACAGCCTCGTTTCGATAGGACGGCGAAGGTGTCGAGCGGCGACGTCTCCTCTTCGGCGTCCGAGAACGCTCGATTGTAGCCCGTTAACTCGCTACCTTCGTGGAAAATACTGCTTGACTAGAGAGTATTGTGGAATACGGCCACCTAATACTTTCGCTTGTCTACCTAGACCTATCGCTAGACGCGATTCCGCTGCGGAATAATCAACCATCGCGGTTGTTAATTAAATGCACGAGCGTCGTCCAGACTAAGGACGTCGTCGAGCCAAGATGTCCGAGAAGTCCTTGGTATCTACCTACGAACGTTCTGTGACGTCAGCTAGTACGGCTTGCAGGCATCCTTGGACCGTTTCAACTGGACCTTCAGTCGCTTCATGCCAATCTGGAAACCATGCATCGTTTGGATCGCCGCTTGCGCGCTCGACGCATTGTCATACGATACGAAACCTAAAACAATATTATAAGATACATGGATTCTATTCATCTGTATTATGTCGTTTCATCACAAAATTTATCTGTATTACTCGTATTCATCACAAAATTTATCTGTATATTCAAACATTCTTTTGTTATTGTTATTCAATGTTAATTCAACTTACCAAAGCATTTACTCATGTGCGTGTGCTTATCTATGAAAACTTTGGCGGATATGACATTGCCGAAGGGCAAAAAGGTAGAAATGAGGTCTGTATCGCTGAATTCTTGCGGTAGGTGATATATAAAGAGGTTGCAACCTTCGGGACCCTCGATTTGCTTGTCCGTGCTGGTGAACTTGGTCTTCTGCGCTGCTGCCGCCGCAGCGGCTGCAGCCGCCGTGAAGGCGGGGAACCCTGAAATCCGAGTATGTTGGTGGTATGCTCTCGCTATATCATCAATCGCAGGGAATACAATCCCAGTTGTATATTTTTCGAAGTGATATAAATCACATGTTAAAAAAGCTAAAAAACAATGTATATTTTTAAATAAATAATTTTAAATGTAATCAGATCTTAATTCTACTAACTATTTCTCAAAACTCGATTTATATCACTTCATGATGAACAGTTCTTGTTCAATATACAACTTTACATTGGCTTGGCACGTCCCAGCTTACAGAGACACACCAAACAGATTCTGATTTGAATTTACAGAATCTGATCACTTCAGTCTACTCTGAATATAATGAGTAAATAAGCACATTATA